TGGGATTAAAGGTATGCGCCACCACGCCCGGCCTAAATAATATTTTATATGGATTTAAGCCTAATGTCTGGGAAGTGTAATCCCTTGAACTCTTAAAGAAATATACTGATCACTTTAATCTTTCCTTTTGGGTGTTTTAAGACCATAGAGTTGGCCCAGATAAACCAATTTTTTTTACTCTTCAGGTCGTTTGACGATATGTTCCTCAGAGGTCACATGGGCTCGGGAGGAGCCCCTGGCTCCTTTTACCAGTTACATCTATGTGAAGATAAATCAAAGGTTCTGCTCGACCATGGCTGGCTTTACTTGGAAGCATGGAGGAAATGCTTCCTCTAAGTTGACCCTCCTCTTTGTAGACTGAACACTGGTTCAAGTCCATCTGGTGGGGTCTCCATGGCCTCCCTGAACAGGAGGACAGGTGACTCACCACAGTTACAGGACATTTTGAGAGATGCTCCATAGTCCCCTGGAACTTAGTTGGCCTTGGAGGGCAAGGGGCAAAAACTGTCCTTTAAGTCCTTCTGACCAGATTAGTATAGATAGGCCTCAAAGTACGGCTGTTAAATATCCAATAAGGTTAGTTCCACCAGTCTGGTACTTTTAATTACCATCTGCTTTGTAGATAAAGCTTGGACAAAAACAAAACGTTCTCAGATAAACCTTGACTAGACATAATTTTGTTCCTTAAACTAGTTGACTAAACTATGACCTTAGAAAATTTAAGATTATATGTATTTTTTTTGTCTTATCCTTTATATATCATAGCAAACCTACACAGACCTTCATCGCTTGCTTAAGCTTCATTTTTTCTATTTTGAAAAATATCTCCATTCCCATACCTTTTAACATCTTTTTGTTTTTCTTTTAATTTTTTTATTTTATGTGTATGAATGTATTGCCTGCATGTATGTAAGTGCAATGTCTACAGAGGACAGAAGAGGGCTTGATTCCCCTGGAACTGGAATTCTGGACAGTTGTTAGACACCATATAGGTGCCGGGAACTGAACCTGGGTCCTTTGCAAGAGCAGCCAGTGCTTTTAACCACTGAGCCATCTTTCCAGCGCCACCCCCCAACATCTTTTACAGTCTCATTTTCTTTTTAAATAATTATGAGACATTAACAAATAAAATTTCCATCTGTTGTGAGAATTCTTTTCCTGGGGATACTAAGTAATGTTTATCCCCTTTTAAAGTTCTAGTGTCAGTTTTGTATTTTTTTTATGAGGCGTTTCTGTTCAGTTCATTAGCACATTTATTGATTGTATGATGTGCTTTTGTTTAAATTTTGGAGATTTTGTTGATCTTATTGTTTGGCCAGTTTTGCTTTTTATTTTTAATTAACTACAGTGATGCTCAAGCCTTGCCAATGTACTTGTGCAGAGGTGATACTCCTTGGACCCCAGCTTCTTGGGCTTATGAGCCCTGGCTCACACCTTGGGCTGCAGGTCCATGGGCTGGTACTACTTGCCCTTGTAGAATTTCCTGAGGTTTTCTTTCTGAGTCTGGTTAATGACCATGAGAACATGGGCAGTAGATTTGCAGACAACTCAGATCTTGAAGAGCTAGGATACTGTGCTGACACTTTAGTGACATACAGCTAGGGAAGCTCCCCCCTCAGATCACCCAGCTGTTTCAGCAGTTCCTCCTTGTTAAGGAGATCCTGGTCCTTCATTTTAGCTAGGGCTGCACTTGCTGCCACCTCTGCGTGAAAAGCAGGAATTCTTCATAGATTCTAAATGTTAATCCTCTTATTTGTAATTGGCAGAGATTTCTTCCTATTCTGCATCTTGTTTCCACTTGACTGATTGTTTGCTGTGCAAAAGCTTTTCAATTTTATGTAATCCCATTTATCAACTCTTGGATTATTTCCTGTGCTGTTGGGTCCTTATCAAAAAAATCCTTATCCATACCAGTATCTTGAAATGCTTTGTCTATGTCTTCAATACCCACTAAGCATTATTCACCCTGCTGGACAGATGTGACTAGATGTCAAGTAGTTTACTGGAGCTTAAGAGTTCATGGATTCTGTAGCAGTGACCCTCAGGACAGAAAGCTAGCTCCTGAGGTCGGTCTGTCCACTCACCTCAAGCTATTAATTTTATTGATTTTGGTTTCTTTTAATGAGGACTTTTATTCAGTTCACTCTCACTCAGTGATTGCATGGTTTGTTTTTATTATTTAGTTTTTAGAGGTTTTGTTTGTTTCTTGTTATTGTTATTTGGCTAATTTTATGCTTATTGCCTGTTAAACTTGAGAGTTCTCATTGATGAAGTCTTCTCCCAAGAACTGAGGGTGACCTTACATTTCTTTACATGCTTCATTACTTGGGTTGAGCCTCTTGTCGCCTGTACTTTTTGACTTGCAAGCATCTGGCCCTCCTTTAGCTGGAGGTGCCAAGCTGGAGGAGATGGTGGGACTACAGATCGCTGTTTGGGTATGTGCGTGTCACAAGTGCCAATGTAAGCATATCAACAAGAATATAACGTGGTCAAAAGGCACTCCAGCTAGGTATGGTGCTCACTCCTGTAATTCTAAGCACTTGGGAGACTGAGACAAGAAGATTGCTGTGAATTTTAGGACAGTTTGGGCTTTACATAGTAAAAGCATCATGGAGAGAGACCAACTACAAGGATTGGGTAGGACAGGATGAGCCATCAGCAGGTCTGAATCAGAGCATCCTGATGGAGAACAGAAGATGGCTTCTACAAGGAGCCATTGGATGCTGCAGCGCACGGGAATTTGAGTTCTGGATCACAAATCAGAAAGAGTGGGCTGCAGCATGCAAGAAGTGGAGAGGTATTAGGCTATGAAGGGTGTACCAAGCAGGGGAGGAGGGATAGAGGTCTGTGTGGTTGAACACTGGTGAGAAGAGGGAAATAGAAGTGAGAGTGGCGACACAGGGAAAGGTGGGCAGACTCAAAACCACCAGGTCCCCTGGCAGCAGAAGCTCTGAGGTCTGGAAAACAGGTGGAGGGACTAGCCTTAGACATGTTCGGAGCAAAGTTGGAGAAGACAACTTTGGGATTTAGTTTCTAGAATGGTAAGGAAGTTTCTAGGGGATTGCTTTTTCTCTGTGAGTGGGTGCAGTTGCCTGGTGAACTTGAGGTTAGGAAAGAGGAGGAGGAGGCAGAGAGGTTGAGGAAAAGGAAGAAATTGATGGAATAAGTGTAAGACAGAAACTAAAAGACTTGTTGGAAAGATCAGAGTTTTTTGGTTTTTTTTCGTTCTTTTTGAGACAGGGTCCCATGCAGCCCCAGCTGGCCTAGAGCTCACTATGTAGACCAGGCTGGCCTTGAACTCACAGAGATCCACCTGCCTCTGGGATTAAAGTCATGTGCCACCACTTCCGGCCTGGAAAAAGTCATATTACACTGAATAATACATTAACTGACTTTTCTCAGTCTGCTCATCTTTTTTCATAGTGGCCAAGTGATACCTATAGAATTTACTCAACCTCAGCTTGTGGGTGAGAGCTTTAAGCCTCAGTTTCCTCATTTGTAAAGTATCGATGGCTGTGATATACCCACTGAGTAGAGCAGATACATATCCCAGTGAGACCGTGTGTGTAACATGCGTAGCCCACAGTGAGCATGCTGCTGCCATCCATGCCAGAGCTGCTATCCTTTACAGCTGTGCTGTCCTATAGAAGAGAGGTGGCTCCCTTGCCCAGCAGGATGAGGTCATATTGATTTACCTCTGTTCCTTTCCTGCTGTCTCTTCCTGGAGGCAGAATCATAATGGCAACAATTGCTATGGATCAGAAAAGTCAAGAGTGTCTCTGGCTTGTTTAACGCCTCAGTGGCTCTCATGGGAAAAGTTTTGTTTTAAACAGCTGACAGAGGTTGGGGATGTAGTTTATTGATAGAACACTTGCCTAGCATGCACAGGCCCTGGGTTTGATCGCTAGTACTACAAAAATAATTGAGAGAGACGGAGACAGAGACAGACACAACTGGCACAGTTTGCAGGAGATACAGATGAAGGGAATGCATGAGGAAGTAGTAGTTCTCTCCCCTAGCAGCCCCTGCACTGTTAGTTAGGGCTCTGGGTTGCAGTGCTAGCGCTCAACTCTTAACTAGTCTGTGTTGGGAACGTTTTGACGTTTATGACGGGAGTTAGGAGGTGCCCTGGTTCCTGTCTCAGGCAGTGCTGCTGGAATGTCTGCATTGCCTCTGCCTTGCCAGCTGTGCTCCCTTTGCATCAGGGGCTCCCATGCAGGGCTGAAATGGTGCAGAAGCCCTGGTTTCTCTTCTGTGATGGTTTTTGTCAGCTCACAGCCTAGAGTCACCTAAGGAGAAAGCCTCATTTAGAGGAATTACCTAGATAAGGTTGGCCTGTGGGCACGTCTCTGAGGGATTGTCTTGACTGTTGTTTAAGGTGGGAAAACCCACCCCAATGTGAATGTTACCATTTCATGGGCTGGGACCTGAAATGTCTAAGAGTAGAGACGCTAGGTGAGGACTAAGCAACAGGCAGGTGGTATGGCCACATTCATTTCTGTCTGCTCTTGACTCGTGGTGTGAAGTGACTAGCTGTTTGAGTTCTTGCCTTGATCTATCCCAAAATAATAGACTATAACCTGGCAGATTATAGTCTGATAAGTTAGGTAAACCCTCCCCCCTACCCCATGTTGCTTTTAGTCAGGGTATTTGTCAAATCAAAAGAAATAAAACTATAACACCTTCTATCCTAGCAAGAATCCTCAGGTAGACTCTTAAGACCTGAGCCTGGTCGTATACTGATCCCTGAGCCACTCACCAAACTCTAGTCGTGCACACCTGGAGTTATGCTTTGCACATACCAAGTGCTTAGTGGGGCATGGAGGGACCAATGTGGTGGTCAGCTTCTCTGAAATCACATGTGCTCAGAGGGAAGGATTTGCGGGGGAGTCCCCACTGCAAATCTGGCTCCTGCTAGAGAAAGAGGCATTTGTGGTGAGCGGCTGCTAAACCTCCAGTGCATTTATTCACCACTTTGGTGCTTTCTCTCCCTCATCTAGTCTCTGGGTCTCTCCAGCGCAGCAGCCAACATGTTTGGGAGTGATGGCAGTGAGCTGATTCTGCACTTTGTGACCCAGTGCAATGCTCGCCTCACCTGTGTGCTGGAAGAGGAGCAGAAGCTGGTACAGCTGGGCCAGGCAGAGTAAGTCCTATGTGTTGCAGCAAAGAGTGAGGCACTCTGGCTCTGCCAGCTGTCCCCAGGAAGTTGATTCAAGCAGAGCCAAGAGAGTAGTGCCAACAGCCTGCAGCTTGAATGAGACTGACTCATAGCAGCCTGGCCTGTGATGAGTTTCCCTCAGGAGTTAGTGGCACCTCCTCCCAAGGCTGAATAGGCAGTGTGGCCCCTATCTTTGAACCAGAGACACAGTGTTTTCTTTTCTCCCTTCCAGGAAGAGGAAGACAGACCAGTTCCTGAGGGATGCCGTGGAAACCAGACTGAGAATGCTGATCCCGTACATTGAGCACTGGCCCCGGGTACAGAGTTCATATCCAGGCCCCAGAGCAACAGGAACAGTACTCTACCCCCAGTACTGTGTGCTTGGAGGACTTTGCACACAGTTGAGAAGTTAGCTCCTTGAGTCTTTGTCTTAGACCCAGGAAGGCTTAGTACACTTGGCAGGGCTAAGTTTCTTGCTAGGGAATGCCAAAGGGAGCACTTCAAGCCAAGCCATCTGAAGCTCAGTTCATGGGCCCGTGAGTATCCCTGCATGCTAACTCATATCATGGTGGCACCAGTAACCTGGGTGTGCCACCAGGTCTTCAAGGAGGAAGTATTTTCTGTAAAAGACATCAGACAGTCAGATGTTATCAGCCATCATGGCATCAGTGGATGCCCCGTTGTGTTTTAGATCACGAGGGCTGAGACTTCTCATATTAATAGTGTGATGCTTCCAAGGTCTTCCCCCATTTTCTGAAGCTTCCTTTATCCTTTTCCAAAGTATGTCACAGTGTGGGCCATCCTCTGAGTTTAGAAAGTATGGAGTCAAAGCACATCAGAATGAGAAAGACTCAAACACTCTGTCCAGCCGGAAGACTTGAGTGTATAAACTCAGTCATCCATCTGATGGGCTTTTGAGCACCTGTGGCACATCTAGCCCCAGGTAGGTACGAAGGGATGTCCTTTTGTCAGAAGTACTCTCATCAAGTTGTAGCAGTGTAGTGTTCGTCCTTGGTTGCCTGCCTGGGTCAGCACAGCCTTGCCTTCTGGGCTGCTTTGCCAGAACACTTTCTAGCTAGTGCAGGACCTGTGCCAGCTCCAAATCCACAGTAGAGTACTGTGAGGTTGATAAAGCAGCAAGAGGTTGTCCAGTCAGAGCAGAGCAGAGCTGGTGTCTACTAAAGGAAGGTCTCTGATTGGTATCGTCACTGGTATCAAATGAGGGGGTTAGGGAGGAATTGATTGTGATGCTGCAGCCCTGTATCAAGGACTGGTGCTGCTGGGCTCTGGCATGATCATACATGTTGCCCTGGAATTGCCCCAGACTCCCCTAACTTTGACCTCCCCTCCTCCCTGCTTGTAATTCTGACAGAATGGGGTACCCCCTGATCCTTGCATCTAGGACTTTTAGAGAAGGGTTACCCCTTCAGCTGTCTGTATTCCCAATTTCAAATGTTAGGCCTAGGGAATCTGATTAGGCCAGCGTAGGACAAAAACATGACCCTGGCCCCCATCACCTCTAGTCAGCATTGCTAGTTGCCTCCTCTACCCATGATGGGTCTCAGAACCAGAGCTAGGCTGTCATTCTCACTCCCCATGAGCCCTGTATGTGCTGCTGTTACCTGTGTGTGGTACTCATTTCTCTCATTCTTTCCTCAGGCCCTCAGCATCCTCCTCCTTCCTCACAACATCCCACCCAGCCTGAACCTGCTCACCAGCATGGTGGATGACATGTGGCATTATGCTGGGGACCAGTCCACTGATGTAAGTATTTTCTGCAGGCCCATAGCCAAGACAAAGGCTTGGGTCACACATTTCTTGAAGTTTGTGGAATTCTTTGATCACAGTCTGGAGGGCCTGTAGTTATTCCCATCTAAGGTAGGAGGAAAGCCCCTGGATAGGCCAGAGTGATATCTCGGTGATCTTCACATTGGTGCACGAATCAGTGATCATCCTTCCACCTATGGAGGCGACACGGGCCTCAAGTGGCCTTGTGGTGGGGTTTGCTTTTTTGTGACCATTTCCCTTCTATCTCCTAAGACATAGATTTTGTAGCAGAATTCTTCCATGTCTGCATTTGCTGAGACTGACTTTGAAAAAAAGAACACCATGGAGACACCCATTGCTTTAAAAAAATTCCTTCTCCCATCTTGACCTGCTTTGCTATGAGATCAATAAGCCCCTTTAAACAGGAACCAAGAAAGACTCAACTTGTTATTGCTATTTCTGATGGGAAATTAAAAATACAAAGTACATCTTCATAAAGGAAATGAAAATGCAATGGTACTTGGTGGAATCCAGGATGGGGAGGCACAGAGATAACTCCCACTACACTTATAACGAAGTGCTTTAATAAACTTCCTCCGCATGGGAATATACCACCAACAGAGATGGGAGGAAAACAAAATGAGAAAGCAAAGAAATTAAAGGAATAAAACATGAAGCAGCCGAGCTAATTCTCTGAAGAATAGTTACCAGGGCTGGCGGAAGTCCCCAGGGACTCGAACTCTCAGCTTTGCCCTTATGTTGTAACCTATTCCTCACCCTCCCTCATGTGGTTTAGTCATGACTGGCTAATCATAGAACTTCCCCAGGACTCAGAGGGTTGGGCATTTCAAATCACCTGGGATGCTGGTTATACCTGGTTCCTGGCTTATTTCAAAGCTGCTAGCTCTTAACCCTAAGGGATTAGATCCAGGAGCTTACAGTTTTAATCATAGGTAGTCCTGATGCCCAGCCAAAGTAGTGATGTCCAGAGGGCCATATGTGTCAGTAGGGGAGGGAAGAAATGAGAAGGGAGCCTAGAATCCCTGAAGCCTTGAGTTGGAGGAACCCAAGACACTGCCCCAACCCCACAGGAGTGATTCCTCACCTTCCTGGGTGGGTTTCTCTGCAGTTTAACTGGTACACCCGCCGTGCTGTGCTGGCTGGCATCTACAACACAACAGAGCTGGTGATGATGCAGGATTCATCCCCAGACTTCGAGGATACTTGGCGTTTCCTGGAAAACCGGATTAATGATGCAATGAACATGGGCCACACTGCCAAGCAGGTAGCTAGGGACCAGCCATGTAGGAACCCTCTTCACTAGGTACACCTATCTGCTTCAGGCCATACCTGGTCACCTGGCTGTTCTTTTATCTCCTGTTGTCCTTAGCTGCCAGTCCCAAGGCCTCCCAGGGAGGTCAGATGGGTCTTCCTCATGCCAGCCCTTTCTTAAAAGCCATTTTTTGTCCATTTGTGATTGTGTTGTCCATAGGCTCTTTTACTAGGCCATCTTGACTTCACTGTGGGGTTCACAGGCTTCCTGAATTGTCCTGCCTGCCCCACCTTTGCGCTCACTCTGGGGGCTTAAGGAAATCTGACCCAGACTCCTCCTAGGTGAAGTCCACTGGAGAAGCACTGGTGCAAGGACTCATGGGTGCAGCAGTCACAGTACGTATTGCACAGCTGATCCCCGCCTGCCTCCCATCCACTCTGGCCCTGTGCTATTTATAATGTGTCACTGACCCCACCTAGCTTTGGAGCCTTAAACCAAAAGCTGAATAATAAGTCTGGCCCTGGTTTAGCTTCCATGGCTTGTTCCCAAATGCCCCATCTTTTCTTTGCTGGCATCAAGAGATACCACTAGAGTCTGGAAAGGGGTGGGGAGTACACACCTGTATTGCAACACTCAGTAGGCTGAGGCAGAGGGTAAAAAGTTCCAGGCCAGCTTGGGTTATTTTAGCAAGCCCTCTGGGTACCTACTATGTCAAAAATTTGTATCATAGATGTTAGCTGTGCCTACTACCTTGAAAACCCATCTTTGCCAGTGTAGTCCTAGAGGCAGGGCAAGGCCAGGCTTCACCAGTCTCTCTGCTTCCATCCCTGTTAGCTCAAGAACTTGACAGGCCTCAACCAGCGCCGGTGAGAGAAAGGGGAGAACCCACATGCGTAGAAGGAGCAGCAGGTAGATTTAAAGGGCTTTGACAAGACGCACCGTCTACAGAATACATGGATGAACTTGGAGTTGCTACCACAGCCACAGGACTGGAAACCACACTGTTATGGCCTGGAATTGGGCCACTTCAGTTCTTAATACCAGGCCTGGCCTCCTGATGCCTTTCTGCGTTGCATCTGTGTGGTTGAAAAATGAGATTTATATCCAAGCATTCAAGCCACAGAAACTTAGCATGACCCTGCCGTGGTCTCATAAGCATCTTGATCATGTCTTGACCTTAGAAACGTTCTTTGGGAGCTGGGTATAGTGACATATACTTGTATTCTCATCACTCAGGAGACTGCCACAGGATTGAATAACACGCCTGCTTGAACTACATAGTGTGACCCTGTCTCAAAGAAGCAAACCTCCCAAGAAAGGTTCTCTGGGGCTCCCAAGCCTGAGTCAAAGTCTGAAACCATCAGAAGGTAGCAACTCCTTTGCACACAGGACAGACATGTGCACAGATGCTCCTGTGGACCCTCTCAGAAAGCTGCCTCATATGAGACAGATGCCTTATGGACAGTCCTTCTCAGCCTGGCCAGAGGTGTGATCCCAGGCCTGGCATCACATACACCAGCATGCTTTGCAGAATGTATTAGTGTATTTAGTGTATCATTAGTGTATTTGGAATCTGTAGAAATAATAATAAATATGTTTGAAACAATCTCCTATTGTGTGGTTTCCATCTAGACCATGTCAAGTATCCAAGACCCCAGCAGTAGGCAGTAGTCTATGGGAGAGGCTTATCTAGCAGCCAGGGTTCTAAGTTCTGACCCTGGCACTGCCCAATACCTGTAGGGAAATTATGGCAACTCCGTCTTTCCAGCAGTCAAATGAGGGTAAGAGCACTTTCCCCAGGCCACAAGCTTGCTTGTCTGCTCTTGTCTCTACTTTAGAAACAGTCTTTAGCTTTTAGTCTTTCAGCCTTTACACTGGCTGGGCTTCCTTTGCACCTGAGGTTAATACTGACTTCTGCTGTGCTCTCCTGTTTAAATCAGCTGATGGGAAAATTTCAGATCTCGTCGGGTGTGCTTTCTGTGGGGCCCTTTCTGTACCTCTGACTTTTTGTGCCTCTTGATATCCCACGAAGTTGCTGCTATAGCTATTGCACGATTCATAATTTACTGAGGTGGTGTGGCCCGTGGTGCAACCCCCTCCCCCAGTGCCCTTCTGGTCTCAGAAGAAATGGCACTCCTTGTTACAGCAAACTCTTTCTTCTCTGGTTACTTTTCTGCCCTCTAAATGTAGTTCCTGCAGGGTTCTATTTAAGGGCTTCTTTGTGTGAACAGCTGCCACTTTTTTTTTTTGAGCCCCATTTAAACTGTCTTCAGGTGCAACTACACAGAACTGTAGAAGTAAAGAGCATTGTATCTTCAGAAGTGGATAATACAGTCAAGGATGAAAAGGAAAGGGTGTGTGTCTATCATTTTACACATGCTGAATGTACACTTTGCAGGTGGATGAGATGGCTCAGCAGGCCTTAAGTCCTGAGTTTGATCCTTGGGACCCATATGGTAGGAGAAAACTGACTCCCATAAGTTGTCCTCAGACCTCCACCCACACGACCTGGCACATGTGCACCCCATCACATACACATAAATGAAAATTTAAAAATACGCTTGGTTTTCTTTTGTGTATGAGCAATAGACACACAGCTCTCGTGTGGAGGTTGGGGGAAAATCTTGAGTGTGGGTCCTTGTCTTCCACCTTGAGACAGGTCTCTGCTGTTTCAGCCAACTGGTCAGAGAGCTTCTGGAGATTCTCCACCTCCCATCTTGCAGGAGCACTGGGATTCTAGATGCATTGCCCTGCCCTGCTTTACGTGGGTTCTGAGAATTTGAATTCGGGTTCTCTCTCACTGAGCCATTTCCCTGTCCCTTTTGTTTATTTACATGTACAGCCTCATTCTTTAAAAAGTCTTCATTGTATTTCTATGTATGTATATCTAACCAAGTCTCTAGGGATCATTGTCTGTTGGGCTATTTTTTTAAATATTTTTATTTTATGTGTGTGGGTGTATTGCTTGTATGTAGGTAGGTGCACCGGTGTTGCCGCGGAGGTCAGAAGGCATCAATCTCCTGGTACTGGAGTTACAGAAGGTTGTTAGCCACCATGTGGGTGCTGGGAATGAAACCCTGTCCCCACCAGGAGCAGCCAGTACTCTCAACAGCTGAGCCATCTCTCCACTGTTTTTTTTCCATTACAAGTAGTAATGGCACGGACGGCCTCTGTCGCGCCTCTGTTTACAGCTGCAGGTGCTTCTGCTTACGAGTTTCTTGTTGAGTCAAGAACGTACACGTTTTACCGCATTTCCTCCAAGATGGTTGAACCTGGTGTATTTTGGAGCAGGTGGGGCTAGAAAACGCAAGCCTGAGGCGTCGCGGCCTCCGGGCAGCAGGGGGCGTTGCGTGCGCATCTCGCCGGAAGTACCTGAGGCCGCATCTAGCGACTTCCGAGGGCGGCGCGGGCGCAAAGCGGCCCTGGCGCTGAGGCTGGCGGCTAGCGGTCGAGATGCCCTACGCCAATCAGCCGACGGTGCGGATCACGGAGCTCACCGACGAGAACGTCAAGTTCATCATCGAGAACACCGACCTGGCGTAAGGCGGCCCTGGGCAGCGACGGGCGGTTGGGCGGGTCCTGTGCGCCCTGGGGCTGGGCCGAGGGGACGCCCACTCACGCCGCTGCCTTTCCTCCTCTAGGGTGGCCAATTCCATCCGGAGGGTGTTCATCGCGGAGGTGCCCATCATAGGTACGCCGCCCTTCCCTGGGGCTCCTGCCGCTGGTCCTCGGCTGGGGTGGGTGCTGAGAACTCGGTGGTGCTGAACCCTGGGCCAGGGGCGCTAGGCCCGCTCTCTGCGAGCATGACTTGGTTCACGCTTCTCTGTGGACCTGAAAACAGACAGCTGTGTGCTGCGGTCTTCCTGGTCCATAACGGTCAGGTGCTAGGTAGGAGTCCTTAGCAGGTGCCATCAGCGATAACTGAGGTCATGTATGTTACACGCTTTTGCTTTTTAAGTGAGTGTTAGGTACTGGAGATTGATAGATAAAAAATAGCTGTATGACGAATAGGGTTGATCAGGAGAAAGCAGAGTTTATTAGCAAAGAACACATGGGGCAGATTCCCTTCCGGGTAGGGAAAAATGTCTGTCCCGGTCGTCAGCTTGGGTCTTTTAAGGGGGAGGCTTCTGCTTCCTGCAGAGGTGGGAAGATGTATTTTTTTTAAAGTTGGGGGTGGGGAGTGGGAGAGCGGGACTGTTAAAACCTGTTCTCTTTAGAGATCAAAGGGGAAGCCTGCTGTGTTGGCCAAACAGTGGAGAAAAGTCTGCTTCTCTTGACTTCAAAGACCAGGGCGCTTATCAGCTCCTTTCCCTTTTCTCAGGAGCATGAGAAGTCCTTGGGACCCTGTTGGTGAGGGGGCAGGGCTATCCGAACCTTAACATACCAGCCTTTTGTGTTATAGGATGGGGGGGCGCTGTTGTCGTCTTGCTACTTCCTGCTGGACAGGGTCGACGTGGTGGGTAGGCTGGATTAGGTGTCCACTAGACAGCAGGGGTTCTCCGTGCATCTGAACAGGGTCCTCGATGGATGGTTGACAGGCGTTGGTATACATGTGAAGGGAAGGAAAGTAACAACTGATTAAAATTAGTAAGAGTTAGTTTTTGGATTTTGGTCTTGAAAATCTCTGGAGAGGCAAGGAGCAATGGTTAGCACCAAGGTAATAGCTCATTTTTCTTTTTTTTTTTTCTTCTGCCAGGGGTGAACTCAAGAGCGATGAACTCAGGATTTGTTTTCAGGCATTTTGATAGCTGTTGGAGTGGCTAGAATCAGTGTCAGTTCCCTCTCAAAGGCTTCTAGATAGGAAGAGAAAACAAATTTAGCCATCATTTAATTTTTTTAGGCTAGAACAATAGTGGGTTGTCTCCCTTAGCTGTAAGTGAGCACTACAGTACTGTAGACCAAGATTTGAAGTCTTACAGAGATGTCTTTTGTAAGTGTATGTTAATTGTGCACAATAATGGGCTTCATTATGGCATTTTTATACATGTGTATGGTATACTTGAATCGTACTGCTCCCTCCCCACCTCCTTTTGCCTCCTGGATAGACCGACCCCCTTCTTCTTTCATGTCTCTTGCTTTTCTTTTTTAAAAAATTACATTTATTAGACCAGCAGTTGGTGGCACACGCCTTTAATCCCAGTATTCGCGAGGCAGAGGCAGAGACCTAGTTTCCATAGCGAGTTCCAGGCCCGCTGGGGCGACAAGATCCTGTATCAAAAACAACAACGCACACACACAAATTATTTACGTGTGTGTATGCCTGTGGGCATGCTACAGCACGTGTGGAAGTCAGAGGATTCTAGTGAGCCCTAGGGAATCAAATTCAGGTAGCACTTGGCAGCAAGTGCTTTCACTTGCTGAGCCATCTCTCTGCCCCAACATCTCTTTAAAAAAATACTGAAGCCAGGCATGGTGTCACATCCCTGTAGTCCCAGCACTTGGGAGGCAGAAGCAGGCCAATCTCTGTGAGTTCAAGGCCAGCCTGGTCTACATAGTGAGTTCTAGGACAGCTGGGGCTACAGGGAGACCCTGCTTCAAAAAGACAGGAAAAAAAAAAAATTGAGATTCCACTTGAGAGAAAACATGTTTACCTTCCTTCTGCAAATGACATAATTTTGTTCTTTATGGCTGAATAATACTCCATTGTTATATGCAACACATTTTTAACCCATTCTGGTAAATGTCTTTTTTTTAATATTTTATTTGTTATGTTTATTTTGTGTATGAGTGTATTGCCTGCATGTATGTGAGTGCACCCCGTGTCGTGCAATGCTGCAGAGGTCAGAAGAGGGCTTCGGATTCCCCTGGAACTGGAGTTAAGGACGGTTTGTAGCCGCCATGTGGGTGCTAGGAATTGAAACCAGGTCCTCTGCAAGAGCAGTCAGTGCCCTTAACCGCTGAGCCATCTCTCCAGCCCCATGTAAATGTCTTTTTTTTTAATATTATTTTTTTGTGTATGGGTACATAGCCTGCATATAAGTGCACCAGTGTCATGCAGTGCCCTTGGAGTTCAGAAGAGGGTGTTGGATCTCCTTAAATTGGAGTTATGGATAGTTGTTAGCCGCCATGTGGGTGCTGGGATTCGAACCCCAGTCTTCTACAAGAGCAGCCAGTGCTCTAACTGCTGAGCCATCTCTCCAGCCCAAGTGTCTTTTTTTTTTTTTTTTTTTAATGGGTCTGTTCTTTTAGTTGCATGTGTGGAGTATGTAAGTACAGACAAGCACAAATACAACACAAGGCAAAGTATGACAGGTATCTTAAAGGGGAGTCTGTGAGACAGCAAGGCGTTCAAAGGGTGTGATGGCATCTGTTGACAAAGGTTTTAGAGACTCAGAATTTTCACCTGCCAGGGGCTGGGAGGATGGGAAGTAGAGTTAGGAAAGCTTGGCTGTGGTCCTGGCTTGGATTGAGGAAACACTGCAGGCCTAAGCAAGTAGAGTCCCTGTCTGGTTCTCTTTTGACCTCTGTTCCTAGTGTCCATAACTTGTTTGAGAATTGAATTTCTGAATTTCATGCTTAAGTGAAGCCTATGTAAGGCCTGTACTCCTAGAATTGAACTGGGAGAGATTGGGTTTTATTCTTATTTTGCCTTTCCTATTAGAGGAATTTGGTGAACATCTATTGGTAAGTGTAGTATTGAAATTCTAGATGGGGGATCTGGTTATTGTATCATGAAATGAGAAATGGAACATCAGCTGGGTCCTCCCTCCATCATTCTGTGATGTCCTCCCTAATTTTTAAGTGCCCAAATAGATTTTTGTTGTTGTTGTTCTTGGATTTGGTGTTGGCATAGGTAGCAGATTTAAGTGCTTCTTAGGGAAGTATTCAACTCAAAGATATGTTCTCCCACAATATTCTGTTTCTCTATGTGGTACTAGGAAACCCCACTTTGAAGTCACCTGAACAAGAAAGTGCTGTGTGGTGTGTGTTTCTTGCCAAAAATGCAGAGTACAGGGGCAGATGGCTCAGCAGTTAAAAGCACTGGCTTTTAACTGTTCCTGTTCCTCTTGCAGAGGAACAGGTTCAATTCCCAGCTAACAGCTGTCCATAACTCCAGTTCCAGGGGATGTATCGCCCTCTTCTGACCTTTTTGGGCATTGCATGATATGGGTGCACATATATACATGCAGGTAGTACACTCAGACACATAAAATAAAAATATTTTTTAAAAATAAAATGCTGCACCATGTGCATGCAAACACCACAGAGGTCAGAAGAGGGTATTAGATCCCCTGGACCTGGAGTTACAGTTGTTGTTTACCATGCAGGTACAGGGTCCTCTGGAAAGGCTCAACTTTTGAACCATGTCTCCCCAAATCCCCACCTTTTAAAGACAAGGTCTCTCTCATTATACCAGAGTTCATGATGAACCATTTGGCTAGACTGGCTGACTAGATCACTTTTCATTAGTCACCTGGTCACTGATGACCTTGGCCTATACCATGGGATCATTCTCCTATCTCTGTTTCCCTAGCACTGAGATTAGAGGCACATGCACATGCCCCTGGGCCTGGATTTTTGTGGGGGTGCTGGGGATCCAAACTTAGGTCCTCATGCTTGTGTGATCAGTACTTGAGCTCAAAGCTTCTAACACGGGTGTCAAAATTGAGGTTATGAGATATATAAAATGTGTATAATAAACCTCTGGAATTGATTTCTTGTTCAACTTGGAGGAAATCTAGTTAGAGAACATCTGATAATGCTGTTAAATTTTAAATGGAGCTGAAAGTGTGTAACAATAACATAAACAATGCCTAAAAATAAAATAAAATAAAATGC